AGTCCAAATTTTAATGTTAAATTCCAATATTCATTGCTGGCCTTCATCTTTTCCAAATACATTCTGGGTCCAAAGAAAACAGATCAGAAGCCCAAAGACAGACTGTAGGCCACCATTTTGCAGCAGCTAGTCTAAAATTCTTCCTAGGTAGCTGAATCTCGCCTCATGGCTCTACACCAGGGATTCCCAGAGTTACAGTATGAGCCTAGCCTTCCCTCTTGAGTGACAGGTTCACATAAAACAACTCCTATTGGACCATCTTTACATAAGGGCCTCTCACAGGCACCTGAAACTCAGCATATCCTGACTGCCAGACTGCTTCTTCCCCAGTGCTCCTGGGCTTGATGCAGGGTACTCTTGGAATGGCTTCAGTCCAAAAGCTAGAGATCATCTTTCCTTTCCCCGCATTCCTCTCATCCACTGACAAATATGGTCCTTTACTGTCTCTAAGGATCCATGTGTTCACCTCTGTGCTACCACCCTAGCTGGTGCCATCATCACCTCTCCAAGACGATCAGTCAGCCTCAGAACTCTCTCCACAGTTTCTCCTCTATTCTGTCTAACACTCTGGAGCATGGAGGATCTTTTTAAAAATGTGAATCTCCCCTGGCTCAATCATACATTGACTTTCCACTGTCCGTGGTATCAAATCCCAAACCCCTGTGAACCTCTCCAGCTTCATCTCAAATCACCTTTCTTGGGCCTTTACTAATCCACTGTTATTGTGCCTGGAATATTTTCCTCCTCCAACATACATACACCATCAAATACCTTCCCTGGTCTCCTAAATCCTTTAGGCCCCCAGAAGTGACAACACCCAATCACAGACCTTTGTGGAGTCATCTATTCACCCTTTTTGTGACAGTCATCAAAACACAGGCTACTTATTAAATAACTGTCTTCCCCAGTGAATCCTAAGCAAACTGTGCCTGGTTTGCTCACTACTATCTCCCTAACGTCCATCACAACTCTGGCCAATACTAGGGACTCAAAAGATAATTGGTGCCTCACACACATCATTAGCCATATAGTAAAGGCTCAGATACTGCCAGTGAATACAGACTCTTTTCTAGAATACTTGCCTCCACTTTTCCCCCTCTCCTTACCATCCCAGGCACCACCACTGAATGAATCCTCCTCAACAACTCAACTCATTCCTGTCGAGTCGGAATAGCTGAAGCCTCTAGGGAATTTTCAGAGAGTTTAAATCACACAGGAGGAGACTATCCATCCTTCTCCTGAGCAGCAGCTGGTGGATTTGAACCGCCTGCCTTTGGGTTGGCAGTGCAACTCCTTACTGACTAGGCCACCAGGACTCCCTTAATCCACCTAACATTTCCTTTTCACAGGTTTCTCACTGCTTCTTGATAAGGCTGAACTCACAACGTTAGAATGAAGAAAACCTGTAACTTAACTACATCTACTACACACACAATATTTAACTCCAAATCTGAATAAATGATTTGATTACTTCAGAAGTGCTTAAGCCCAATGCAGGAAACAAGGGGAATGACTGCAAGGTTCACTCAGTGATGTGTATTCCATCAGTAGCAACGTTCATCATGAGCTGACAATGGGAAGTTGGATCCCTCAAAGTTCACAGACATACTACTGGGAATCTAAGAATTCTCTATGTGTAAAGTTTTAATTCTGTGGTTTCATTATGGCAATAATCCTGCTTATAAATAAGTAAATATTGCTAGGCTAATTCACTGTTATTATTTGTGTTTATGAACAAAATTGGGCCAAGTAATACTACTTTATTTGCAACTGGCTAAACATCTAACATCTCAATGATGCCCTAAGTGAAATGCAAAAGACGTCATCACTTTTAGTAATGAGAACAAGAGAAAAGTGGTTGAATTCTGTTTTCATATGGGCCAAAGTTGATTATTCTTGCTAAACTCAAGAAAACCTGACTGCATGTAGTAGGCAATTAGTACAACATTCACATTCAGTTCAGCACCATAGCATCTGTTACATTTAAGTTAATTTATTGCATTTGTCATTTTGCTTATGTTTATTTTGTGCATGTGTTTTGGTTTATAATTGTATCACAGCTATAAGTAAAGAACACTATGTGGCTTAACAAGTTTCTGTTTGGGCCTATTTGGGTAACATCAACTGATTTGAGTGAACATTGAGGATCTGTGAAAATGTGTCTTTAAAAGAGTCTGCATTTCTCATACCCTCACTTGTCAAGATGCTTTAGAGATCTGTAGTGGGAGACAACTGTAAGTAAAAAGATATGTATGCATCAGTAGGGAGCTCTATTTGTTTTTGCTCAAACATTCTTCTAGGTGATGGATTCAGATTGCATACCTTTATATCCTCAAAGCGATTTTAAAAAAAAATTATATATATATAGTCACCAGGGAACAAGTTGGTATGTGCCATCTCGTTCATAAAAACCCTTTTAACAAGAGATCTCAACTCTATCCTATTCTGTACCATCCCCCTCATCTCTGACAATATATTTTGCTAATAAGCTTAGTTCTTTGAAAACTTATAATCTATAATATGGTATAAATTCCTAACTAGTCATTGCTAAGCCATTACATCTCACACTAGGATTATGCTGGATAAATACCTTATTTTCTTTGCATTTTAGTTTATGGAAGAGTTTATTTTTAGTTCACGTGTATTTTTTTTTTTAAGTAGTACTCTGAAAAGTAGTACCCATGGTGGACAGTGTTTGGTAGAACTCCCCGATTAAAACAAGCTTGGAAGCAGGAGTGGCATCCACTTCTGAAACAGCTTGCTTCCAGAAACCCTATGAATTTGGAGAAACAATGTAAGTTATACAAGTGTTCAGGTCTTTTGTTCATAGGGTTGCTATGAGTCTCCTATGACTCAATGGCAATTAACAACAATAATATAGGGAGCTCTAATTGTTTTTGGTCAAAATTCTTTTTTTTTCTTTTTTTTATTATTAATTTTAATGACAATTTACAGAGATTTAGGATTTCCATTCATACATTGTTGCACTTTTTGGTGAAACATTCTTCTAGGTTGTATATTCCTGGTCTGTCTACTTGCTGTACAGAGGTAACTCATGCTGTGAAGCTGAACACTGTGATATGATGTGTCAGATGCGATAATGGTTACCCATGGTGTGGACAGTGTTTGGTAGAACTCCCCGATTAAAACAAGTTTGGAAGCAGGAGTGGCATCCACTTCCAAAATAGCTTGCCTCCGGAAACTCTATGAACCTGGAGAAAGGATGAAAGCTATACAAGTGTCCAGGTCTCTTGTGCATAGGGTATCTATGAGTCACCCAGGACTCAATGGCACTTAACAACAACAATAGGGGCTCTGGTGGCTTAGTGGGAAGGAGGTGCACTGCCATCATAAAGGTATGAGTTCAAATCCACCAGTTGCTCCTCAGGAGAAAGAGAGGCAATCTCCTCCAGTGCAATTTACTGCCTCTGGAAATCTGCTGGAGGATCAGTTATGGGTCAGTTCTGACTCAACGGTATGTAACAACAATGTACATATATACAATGTTCATACATTATGTATATAAACAACATATAACATAGGCCCCAGAAAAAATCTTCAGCTTTCACTCATTCTCTTCATGGCGTTCTGAGCTTGTCACCTCCAAATCTAAGCACCATCACAAATATGACTCTTGGCAGGAAATAAATCAGTGGAGATGGTGAGACCAGAAGAAAAAAAATCCTGAAACATTAATCTTTCTTTATAGATCCTTTCCCCTCAGTTTTGATAGAAATATCTCACTTTTTCCAGAACTTCACCAAAATGAAGCACCATCATAAATGAGGCAAACGACAAGTTGCAGCTAAGCCCAGGATGGGGGCCTGTGAAGGGAGGGGTGTGGATCCCGACAAACTAAGAAGTTGGCAATGCTTTTGAGGGGCAACACCCCACAGCTCCAACTGATGGCCTCTTAGGGGAATTCAAGACTGTGTTACCAGGTCTCCCAACTTTAAGTAAACAAACAAATAAGGAACTTGAGGTTTTATGTGGAGCTCTCTTAATTTAAAAGTACTGGCAATAGATTAAAAAAAAAAAATCCAAGTAGTGTGCTGGAAAACAAGAATGTTTGCAGCTAAGAGAGGCCGGACCATCAATCTGCAGCTTTGCTCCTTGCTCTCTTTCAAGCTACTGCACAACCCACTCCTTCCCGCCCCCAGAATTTTCAGTTTCCCCCATCCTCCTGATGGTCCTTCAAGGTCAGCCTGCAGGATCTTCAAGGCCTGCCCCGGTCTTGCTGACCCCCCCTTCTCTGTAATCCTGTTGGTGACTCCATCCTCCACAGCTTCACTTAACTGTTACTCAACCTCGCCCGGTGTTTGTCTCTTCCAGCTCGTTTTATTACTCATTCCTCCAGGACCCTCGGCAGTCACTGCCTCGCCTCAGTTCTCACTGAATACCCAGGGTGAAAAAAGTAGGTTGGACCGAATAAAAAGCACCTCAAGGAGTGAAAGTGGGAAAGCCACACGGAATCACATCATGATACCAAGACCTCAAACCACCCAGGGAACAGCCCTGCATGGACCTGCGCGCGGAGCTGTCCCGATGGGGAGGGCGGGCCCCTCGGCTCCTGCGGCCTCCGCCGCCCAGGCCAGAAAAGCTCGCTAGTGGACGTTCCGGGCAACGAGACGCGGCGCTGCCCCAGGCGAAGCGCGGCTGCTTGGCTTCGGAGCTGTTTGTGATTTCCCCCCGGGGCTCCCGGTCAACCTCCCCGTGGGCCTCCTTCACCCCGCCGCCTGCCAGCCGGGCTCTGCCCCTTGCCCAATCTCCCCGCACACCCGAACCTGAGACCCTCCCACCTCCGCCGCGATTGCAAACAGCAAGCAGGCGTCAGAAGGCGGCGGAGCGCCGAGGCCTCAGACGCCCCGGCCCGCTCTCAGGCTCCGGCTCCCGGGCGCGGCCCCGGCCCGGCCTCGCCATCGCCTCGGCCCCGCGACCTCTCACCCGCCGAGCGGGTCCCGCCCGTGACCGCCCCCGCCCGAGCCGGCCCAGGCCCTCACCCGCGACAGGGTGAGGTCAGTCATGAGCTGCTCGAAGACCCGAGTCTCCTCGGCCTGCCGCTGCGTGTGCAGCGCGATCTTCTCACTGAACTTCCGCGGGTTGGCGCTGCCCGAGCCCGGCGAGGCGG